AGTATTCCAAGCCTTCATCGAAGACAAAGAAAATGTTTCAGAAAACGCGAGGGCTTCTGAGAAGTCATGCCGCCTTTTGATAAGGCCTCCTCCTTCTCGTTTCCCCCCTCGCTCGCCGACGAGAAATGAAAACGCCAAGAACTTGTACGGAACGTGTCCCGGCAGCGTGGCCAATATTCAGTCCGCGGAAGCCGTTGAGCGTCGTGCAAGGGGGAAGGGCAACGAAGGCTAAAACCTGCAATGGCCCCGACTCTGGGCCCGGGATGTGTGTAGAAGCCCCCTGCTTTGGCAATATATATATATACATACATACACGTATAGATGCACATACACACATGCACACGTACGTACGTACGTACATCCGTGCGTACACACATACACACATGCATACATACATACAAACACGCATGTATGCATATCTACACACGCAAACATACATACATACATACATACATGAATACGAGAGAGCGTGATCCACCGCCGCTTTACTGTGGAAAATTGCCAACCTTTTCCTCCGGAACCCGGGGGTCGCCCCCCCCCCCCCCCTCTGAAACCCCCTCCCCCGCCCCCCCCCCCCCCCCTGCCCCCCCTCCCCCGGCGAAAAACCCCCCTCCCCCCCCCCCCCCCCCCCCCCCGCTCGAAAACCGGGGGGGGTCACTACCTGTTCGAACCCCTCCCCCCCCCCCCCCCCCCCTCCGGATCCGAAACCGGGGGGGTCCCTACCGGTTCGAAACCCCCCCCCCCCCCCCCCCCCCCCCCCCCTACTCACCGCCAGCAAACGACTCCCGGTCCCCACCACCGTCCGCATCACATCCCCCGCTGGTGTTCCCAGCACCACTGTCCTCACCACCGCTGTCCCCACTGGTTCCACCACCGCCCCTACTGTCCCCACCAGTGGCCCCACCACTGTCGCACTGTCCCCGCTGTCCCCAGAACTGTTCCCACCACGGTTCCACTCTCCCCACTGTCTCCACGGCCCCAACCACTGCCCGACGATCCCCACTGTCCCCACTGTCCCACTGACTCCTCCGCTGTCCCACTGAGCTGTCCCACTGTTCCCACCACTGTCCCCACTGTCCCCACCACTGTCCCCACTGTACCTCTGTCCCATTGTCCCACCGCCGTCCTCGCCACCGCCTTCACCACTGTCCCCACCACCATTGTACCCTCCACTGTCCCACTGTTTCCACCTCATTCCCATTGTCCCCACACCACTGTCCCCACCACCACCGTCACCACCACTGTCCACTGTCCCCCCCTGTTCCCACCATTGTCCCCACCACTGTCCCCACCACTACCGTCCCCACCACTGTCCCACTGTCCCACTGTCCCCACCACTGTCCCGCTATCCCCTCACCACTGTCCCCACCAACACCGTCCCCACCACTGTCCGCACCCCCACTCGGTTTTCGAGGGGGGGGGGTTCGAACCGGTAGTGACCCCCCCCGGTTTTCCGGATCCGGAGGGGGGGGGGTGGGGGGGGGGGGGAGGGTTCGAACCGGTAGTGACCCCCCCCCCCTTTTCATGATGAGCAGGGGGGGGGGGGGGGGGGGGGGGGAGGGGTTCGAACCGGCAGTGACCCCCCCCCCCGGTTTTCCGGAGGGGGGGGGGGGGGGGGGGGGGAGGGGTTCGAACCGGTAGTGACCCCCCCCGGTTTTCCGCCAGCAGCGGTAGAACACGCTCTTTCATTTATACAGTCATGCATACATAAATGCATATATGCACGCACGCACGTTTGCATACATGCATACATGCATGTAGACACTCGTACACACATACATACATACGTACGTACGGACGTACATGCATACGTAAATACATACATACGCGCCTACATATAAACATGCACACATACTACGTACACACATGCACGAACCCAAAAACATTCAGACGGACACACATACGCACATGCACACATACATACATACATGCGTGCATGCATATGTACACACATGGCTCGTCGACGACGCACAAACAGGCACACATCCATACATACTTACCAGCAATCACATCCGATACCTACATGCATGAATACAAACATACATACATATACACTGGCAAACCCACATACATACATACGTACATACAGCCAAACAACATAACAACCAAGCAACTATACCTAAACGCATGTACGCATGCATGCATCAATGCATGCGCACTTGTATACATACATATAGTCATGCGTCCATGCATGCATACATACGGACGGGCAGACATACATAGCAAGTACATGCACTCGATCGGCGGCAAAGCAGCGAAGCTGATGGATCATCACATGTTTGACGTTTGCACGGTCGAGAGGCACAACCCTCTGTGACCGAGGCTCCCTCGCTCTAGACTCGAGCGGAAACGAGACAACAGCACAGTGACACAGCACTTCGTAAAGAGACAAAGGAAGGAAAAGGGGTGGGAGGGCGGGTCGGAGCTTTGAACATGTCGGCCGCGGAGTGGCGCGGCTGCCTGCTCGCTCCAGCCTCGCTCCCAAATCTGAAAATCAAACCAGACAGTACATGCACTCCATCAGCGGCCAAGCAGCGAAGCTGATGGATCATCCCTTTTTTTGACGTGTGCACGCTCGAGAGGCACAACCCTTTGTGACCGAGGCTCCCTCGCTCGAGACTCGAGCGGAAACGAGACATCAACACAGTACCCACTTCCCAAACGGGTAGCCCGGCCGCAGGCCGGAGCCCCCAAGGGCTTCAAACATTGATCAACTGTGGCGAGAAAAGTTACGCACACACACACACACATCATCATCTCGGCTAACTTTAGACCGCGCATCTGTTCGGCAGAATGGGAGAGGACAGCGGCGGCGGCAGCGAACCGAGGTGGGTGCTCCGCGGCAAAGCTGGTCCATTTGCGGGCGCCGGGCGCCGCTCCTGACAACTGTACATGGTGGGGTGTCGTGCGCGAGCAGACTCCACCTTTCCCTGGGCGCATGCAAATCAAAACCTGCAGGGACGAGATATTCCAACCTTGGATTCGCGTGGCCCCGCGCCAGCGGGTGCCGTGCTGACAGAGATGGCAGGTGCAAAAAACAGCATCGGCGCCCGCGGCAAGCTTTACAAGACGAGGTGCCGCCCACTGGATTGAAGCCTGCGGACTATCGAGCAGCACTGGGACACCTAAAGAACGGCACAGCGAGACAATCCTACAGGAGAAGTGGAAGGTAGCGTTTCCGATCTTCACACGAGATTGCTCGCTAGCATGTAAATCGGCCTTTCCCATGGGCGCCTCGAGGTCTCGCAGGGGCCGTCTGAGAGCCCAGGTCCAAGACGTGCACGGAGTGCCCAAAAACACCCCCAGGACGAGGCCACTCTTGAGCCATCCCGAAGTAAGCCTTTCAAGCGCGCGACCGAGGTGGTCGTCCATGGGACCCTGCAAGATGTCTAAAGAGAGGGCAGCGCAGCCAGAGGCCCTGAGAGCCTTGGCGACTTTCCCAGCCCCTGCAAAAAACTCAAAAAAACGTGCCACAACTCTCCAGGCGAGCTTCCTTCAACTGTTGGGCGAGGAGGCCTCTGAGATGGCGCTGAATCTGAGCTGCCGAAGCTACGGCAGCTCAGCCACGATCAGCGCCCGCGCGGCCTCGGGCAGCAGCTGCCGGACGCGCGAGCACTGCTGAAGGCCTGGCCCCAGCTCGACAATCTCGAGCAGGTTGGCGTGCACGATCCTGCCGAGGACAAGCGCCCAGTCGGGCACTCGGGTCATGGCGTCCTGCAGGTAGGCCTCCTTGGCGTAGCGCTCAATGCTGCCCGGCGACGCCCAGCGCCCGCGGCGCTGCGTCTGCCCCAGCGATCGGCGGCCTGCCTGCAGATCCCAGCTCGCCCCGCCGTGCCTCAGCGAGTACAGCGATGGGTCCAGGGCGTGCAGCTCGATCGCGTTCGCGAACCTGCTGAACTGCTCCCTGAGCGCCGGAAGGGTGAAATCCCAAAGGCTCTGGTCTAGGGCCGCTGCGCCTCGCGGGCCTGCAAGCAACGGCCACAGGTGCTGGTCGAGGTCGATCACTGCGCTCTCGTTGCACAGCCCTGTCTTGCCCGGGCGGCCCCCGCTGGTGGGGCGCAAGAGGAGAGCCCAGCCCCCCGCGGAGGACGCCGCCTGCCCCACTGGGCGCAACAGAAACGCCCCCCGGAGCCCCTGCGCCTCGAAGGGCCCGAGGTAGCAGCTGAACGTAGGCAGGGCCCAAATCGCCACGCGGCGGCGCCCGCTGACGGCTAACATGCCCGCCAATGCTGCTGCGGCGAAGTACGGCAACGGCACCCTCGTCATCGCTGGCACCCTCCGCTGCCACGCAGTCGAACTCCTGGTGCCCCGCGGTAGCTGGGCCTCCCACGGGCCCTGGAGGCCCGGCAAAAAGTGGGCGAGCGCAGCCAGCAGCAACGAACCTTGGCTCGAGGGCGCACCCTCTATGAATTGGCGATTCAGGAAGCGGGTTACCGCGGCGCCCAGCTGGACGAAGTCATTCCAGTCCAGGCGGTTCAGCGAGCAGTAAGCCACGAATCCCTCCAGGACCTCTCGGTGCTGCACCTCCGTGCTGGAGCGAATCCCGATGGTCTCCAGCGCGCTCAATGGCTCCAGGGGTGGCCGCTCTGCCAGGAAACGCGTGGCCATCGCCACCCGTCTCTCCCGCGCCTCCGCTGCTGCCAAAGCAGGGCGCCGCGCCGGCCTCCGACGGACTGGCGCCGCCAACGCCGCCGCTGGCCTCAGACGCGCAGCCACGGGCGTCGAGGCTTAGCGGCGCAGGCGGGCGGCAGCCGCCAGCGGGCCCCCCGCCGGCGGCGCGCGCCAACGGCCCCGCGCCGACAGTGGGCCCCCGCGGTGGCCGGGCGCGGCCGGCGGCATCTGAAAACCAGGTGCGCCGACCTCGAGACAGGGTGTCGGCGGGGGCTCAAGGGTCGAATCCCTCCCCTGCGTTTTTCTAGCAAATCGTTACATTGGTGTCGTGCCTCTCTCTCTCTCTCTCTCTCTCTGTTTCTCCCTCTACAATTAGTCAATATGAATACTACTCTCCCTCTTCCCCTGATGACGTGCTGGGAGTGTTCGCCCCCCCCCGCGTCCTGCTTTTTTGCACACAGGATTCCCGGGAGTTGGGTTTTCGCCTGCATTTTTGTCTGAGTGCTGCTCTCGCTGAGGCGCCGGCCTCATTTTCGGGCCCCGTTCGTTCCGAATCGTGTTCCCGCTGCAGCGTGGGTCTCATTTTCGGATCGGTGTTTTGCCTCCGTCGTTCAGGATGGCGTTCTCGCCCCAGCGCGGGCCTCTTTCTCGCGCGCCCATCCGCCCGCCACCACCGCACCGCGCCCCGCCCCGCCCACCGCCACTTCCACCCACCAACGCACACACGCACGCACGCACGCGCACCGCCACCACCACCCCACTACCCCACCCACCACCACCACGCTACACCGCGTCACACCACATCACACGCGCGAGCACACAAACACACACGCACGCACACACACGCACATACACACACGCACACACGCACACACGCACACACGCACACACGCACACACGCACACACGCACACACGCACACACACACACACACGCACACACACACACACACACGCACACGCACACACAGCACACACACACACACACCACCACCACCGCCACCACCACCACCGCCATCACGCACGCACGCAACTGGCCCCCACCAGCAAACCAACGCCACACCCGTTACACCACACACCAACGCGCACGCACACACACACACCACACACACACACCACCACCACCACCACCACCACCACCACCACCACCACCACCACCACCACCACCACCACCACAACCACAACCACCACCACAACCACAACCACAACCACAACCACAACCACGCACACACGCGCGCACGCACGCGCACCACCACCCACTACGCACGCGCGCGCGGAGCCACAGGTCCGCTACGACACGCATCCGCGGATAGAGAAAATCAGCGCCATGGTAAGGGATGGGAGGGAGGGGTAGGACGTCACATATGACGCGAGCGCACATAGCTTGCCATCTCTCTCTCTCTTTCTCTCTCCCTCTCCCTCTCCCCCTCTCTCTCTCTTTCTCTCTCCACCGTCCTCAGCCGAATCACCAGCCTAAGCCTAGCCGAAGCCTCAGCCTCACCTAGCTTAAGCCCCAGCCAGAATTTAACCGAAACCTAGCCTAAGCCTCAGACTCATCCTCAGCCTCAGTCTGGCCTCAGTCTCTGCCTCTGCCCAGCCTCAGCCTCTGTCGCAGCATAGCCTAAGCCTGGCCTCAGCCTCAGCCTCAGCCTCAGCTTCAGCCTACGCATTGCCTGAACCTGGCCTGAACCTCAGCCTACGCCTAAGCACCACCGCCTAGCCTAAGCATCAGCCTGAACCAGCCTAGCCGAATCCCATCTTAAGCTTCAGCCTCGCCTAAGCCTCAGCCTAGCCGAATCCCATCCTAAGCCTCAGCCTCGCCTAAGCCTCAGCCTCAGTCTAAGCCTCAGCCGAACATGAGGCTCAGCCTCAGCCTTGGCCTCTGCCTAAGCCTAGCCTCAGCCTCAGCCCAAAACTAGCCAGCGCCGCAACCCCGTTATTGCTACTACCACATTACTAGAAATAAACTATTATAGTGCTACGACTCCCCACAACAGTAGTACGACTACAACAAGACGACCGTACCATCATGCTGCTACACTACTGAAGTTTTGCAATACTGCAATGCTCGTCGAATCACCACTCAAATGTTACCGCCGCTACTGCACCAGAGTAGTACGTCGACTTCAATAGAACGATACAAATACAATACTACTGCGGCAATACAGTACCAGGGTACGACTACCCTGCTTGAGCACTCCGATGTGAGAGCTCCACTACTACTACGACTACTACAGCGCCACCACTACAGCATTACAAGACTATAATGCTACAGCCGTGCTGCGATAACACTGCATTTGGCAATCCCTACTACAGCACTGTAATGGAGCCATGCAAGCCTAAGCATAGCCTAAGCCTGACCCAAACCTCAGCCTAAGCCTAAGCCTCAGCTTAGCCTACACCTCAGCCTAGCCTGAGCCTCGTCCAAGCCTCAGCCTGAGCTTCGGCGGAAGCCTCAGCCTAAGCCAGTCCCAAACCTAGCCTAAGCCTTAGCCGAGTTTCAGCCTGACCCTCAGCCTCAGCCTAAGATAAACCCCAGCCTCAGCCTGAGCCTTAGCCTGGGCCTAACCTCTACCAAAGCCTAGGCCCGGCCGCATACCTTCAATTGCAATTCCGATACTAGGGTATTACGACCACCTCATTACTACAACAGTTCTACTATCACAATATCCGGGTGCGATTACCCCTACAACGCAATTGCCAGTACAACCGCTCGACCATATTACAGCGATGCCAGACTATTAAAGTGTTACACGACCGTGTTGCTCCCACAGCCACCACTACGTTGTTACCACCACTACTACTGCACCAGAGCATTACTACGATTTCAATAGAATGAAATTCATACAATACGACTGCGGCACGACGCTGCTAGGGCACGGCGGCCGTGCTTGAGTACTCCCGCGCTAAAGCTCCATTGCGACTACTGCCAGCATGGAACAAATACAAGTACAGTGCGAAAGTATCACGTATGCCATAGCACTGCTGCAGTGTTGCATTACGACTATAGCAGCGTCCACTACTACAGTTACAGCGTACTATACAGCACTACCTTGTGATAGTACCACAACCATGTTTTGCCATGCTGCGGCAGTGGAACATTCCAATTACAGTATGCAGGCAATCCTTGGGTACTACTCTCACGGACCATGTATTAGAGCACTGCTTCTACAGTGCCACTACTACACTAGTATTCCACGGTTCCACCACAGTACGAAACCAATCATACAGCACGACTACTGACGCACTCCAATTCGATGGTATTCATACTACATCCGAGTACGACAGCAGTGGGTTATTTGTACTACGGCAATACAATGCGACTACTAAACCCTTTGCTAGGGTATGATCGTTAGTGCCAGCCGTGAGTACTACCGACTACCAATACTACTACTACTACTACTACTACTACTACTACTACTACCACTACCACTACCACTACCACTACCACTACCACTACCACTACCACTACCACTACCACTACCACTACCACTACCACTACCACTACCACTACGACGACTACTACGATTACAACTACTAGTACTAGTACTAGTAGTAGTAGTACTACTACTACTACTACGACGAGGACGACGACGACTACTTCTACAGCTTCTACTAAGTCTACTACTTCTACTACTTCTACGACTACTACTATTACTTGTACTAGTAGTAGTAGTACTACTACTACCACTACCACTACTACTACTACTACTACTACTACTACTACTACTACTGCTACTACTACTACTACTACTACTGTTACCACTACTACTACTACTACTACTACTACTATTACTACTACTACTACTACGACTACACTACGACTATTACTACTACTACTACTGCTACTACCTACTAACTACTAACCACTACTAAACCAAAAAATAAAACAAACGAGAGTACGACTACTACTACGACTACTACGACTACCTTACCACTACTACTACCGACACGACTACGACCACCACTACTACTAATTACCTACTACTAAGTAACTACTACTACTACTACTCTCTACTACTACTACACTAGTAACTAGTACTACTACTACTAATACAAAACTAATACTACTACGACTACGACGACTACTACGACTACGACACTACCTTCTGTCTACTACACTACTACTACTAACTTGTACTACTACTACTACTCCTCTACTACTGCTACTGCTACTATCTACCCACTACGACTACTCACTACTACTACTACTACTACTACTACTACTACTACTTACTACTGCTACTACTGCTACTACTACGCTACGCTACTACTAACATTACTAACCACCACCACCACTACTACTAACTACTACTACTACTACTACTAACTAACTACACTACTACTACTGCTACTGCTGCTACTACTACTACTACTACTGCTACTACTACTACTACTACTGCTACTACTACTACTACTCCTACTCCTACTACTACTACTACTACTACTACTACTACTACTATTACTACTACTACTACTACTACTACTACTACTACTACGACTGCCACTACTACTACCTACTACTACTACTACTACTACTACTACTACTACTACTACTACTACTACTACTACTACTACTACTACTACTAGTACTACTACTACTGATTGGATGACTCGTGCGCTGCCGCTTCACTGATACAATACTGTTATGGCTGGGCACGGTAGTATAATACCACAAATGTAGCACGATTGCTACAACACTGTGCTGCGACTATTGCAGTGCCCCCGCTACAGCACTACAGTACCAAACTACTACAACAGCGCGGGGTGCGGCAGTGGAGTATTCCTACTACAGTACTGCCGTACATCCGCTGCAGGCAGCAGTAGATTATTTTCAAGCGAATACTGTACTAGAGTATTGCTTTGCAGCGCCACTACTACAATAGCAGCACTGGTCCATAATAGTGCAGCACTATTCATACAGCACTACCGCTACTGCACATTTCGGCGGCAATACGACTGCATTCGAGTATTAACATCCGCCGCTCTGCGGTTGATCGGGAGTTTCTGTATATATAGAAGAAGGGGCGCGCGCTTCTGGGCGAGAGGGAAACGACCGAGAGAAGAAGGGGCGGCCGCCCCACAGGACCTCTCCATGGTGCCGGAAGCCCATCAGGGCTCCCTCAGGGCCCCTCCCCCAGGGCCGGGGCTCCCTCGCC